TTTAGACCCCATTAAAATACCCAAATCAGTTATTTAATGGGTCTTATGCACCAAATTATTAATATATAGTTGGAAATGTTTCACCACAAAAAATTGCGGATTTTTAACTTATCATTTTAGGGGGTAATCGTAGGTCAAAAGGTCATTCGGGACAAAAAATGCACAAAAATGCGTCGTTTTCATGGTGACCTTTGACCCTGTGGGCAAGTATGCTTGTTGTTAAAACTTGCACCATTAATTAATTTATATATGATGATCAGATGTTCCAAATATCAGCTTGGTGTCTTTATCCCTTCATGTTTAAAAAGCGATTTGAAAAGGGGTATATTTTACAATTTGTGGCAGTATCAGTGCGTAAATGTGATAAAATTAATTTTTGAATAACGATAATATTAAAAATAATCTGCCTAGACCCTTGAAACTTATAATTCTAAAACAACTTTATGTGCTTATTTAATGCATGCAGTTCGTTAAGGAATATAGTGTCTCATTAGTAAGATATGTCCCCCCAAAAATGGCCCAAGTGCAAGAATTGTGCAATAAAATTGTATTTACTGTTGATTTCAAATGAGCATAATATTATCCGTGTACTGTCTAGAGCCGTGAAACCTTTTATTCTAGGACAACTCTTTGTGTTGATTTCAGTTATGCAGTCTGTTAAAGGGATACATTGTTTAATTAGTAAGATATCATGCCCCAAAAATGGCCCAAGTGCAAGAATTGTGCAATAAAATTGTGTTTACTATATTATTGATTTCAAATGAGCATGATATTATCCATGTACTGTCTAGACAGCCATGAAACCCTTCCATTCTAGGACAACTTTTTGTGATTAAATGTCTGTACTGTATTGTAATTTTTTTTGTATTTGTAAATATATTTTTAAATCGATGATTAACACGTTGACTGCCAGACCGTTTTTTTAGGTTCTTTCCCGTGTACCAGAACAAGTATACATGTACAGTTCAAACATACTTTTTTGAAATTCTATCTAGTCATATATCATCAAAGTGGTGTGTCTAATAAATTGGCGGGAAAATATTAGAGGATCAGTAAACTTGTCTCCAGCACTGGAACAGCATTTTCTGTTGTCTCTGCCAAGTACAAATTTTCTCGTTGGCTTTGTTTATTTTATTTATTTAAAACCATGTTTTGAGTGGGCGACCCTTACAGAATAAATCTGATGTTATGGGGCCCAGGGGCCCACTTAAATACAAATACAAATATATAAAAAGTATATAAAAAATAGCTGATCTATCAATTAATCATAAAATTTAAAACAACAAATATTAAAATTCAAAAATTTAAAATATAAAATAAGAAAAAGAAAGAAAACAGACAATGTACAAACAAACACCCCCCCAACACACACACACACACACACACACAAACACCCAAACCCAAACAGGGGAAAAAAAAAAGCCTAAGAAAAAGGGGAAAATAAATCCTTGTTTAAAATGTGCATGGGTTGCTGGTATATGTTCAGAGGGCACCCCACTCATACAATCAAGTGTACTGCTGGAAGGAAAACACAATAAACTTACATCAATTACTTGTACGTTATCGTCTAGGTCAGGGGTGGGCATAAAAATCGGTCGGAGGGCCAAAGTGAACTTTTGATTTAACACCGAGGGCTGCACCCAAACTTTGATGTTCCAGTAATCTTCCAAAAACCTCCAAATACTGCTTTTACATCACCTTTATTCTCTGTTTTAATGTTATTTTTTACATATTGTTGGTGTCGGGCCGTAAAAAAACAAGGTGTTTTCTAGGCAATTTTGATTGCCGGGCCATAAACATAGGGTTTTTAATTCATTGTTGCGGGCCGCAAAAAAATCACTGACAGGCCGCATGCGGCTTGCGGGCCGCACTTTGCCCACCTGTGGTCTAGGTGTATCTTCCCCGAACTACCAGCCGTTAAGTCTGTGGTTCTACAATAAGTATAACAATTTAAAGTAATAAACGCTAGAATGTTACCCTGATTTTGACGAGTATAGTCGTCCCTAATGCCCTCAGCAACAACCTGGTGGAAGAGTATACTCGTCACTGGCAGCATGAATAATTTTTTGCTTTGAACATTGACCCACATCCACTGGATGCACCAGCAGAAAAAGGCTATTACAGTGTATAACAAATAGCAAGTTATCAGAAGAAAACAGACTATAGTAGTAGTAAAATATCTGTCATTCAACAGCTTTGTGTTTTTGATTTTTTTCTTTTTTTTTGGTGCTATTTCAGACCTACTATATCTATGAATATAGCAGAGATATCGAACGACATAAGTATGGACGATCAGGATGATGTCCATCACAGTGATATCAGTTTTGATAATGATGATCAAGAAGATGTTGATAATGATGATGAAGATAATGATGGTGAAGATGATGTTGATGAAGAAGAGACCAATCAGAATGAGGATTTATTCAGGAAAGAAATGTCATCTATTGCTGCTAACAAACTTCAAAGGTCAAAATCAAAGCCTGGAATTGTGTATCTTAGTCGAATCCCAATGTTCATGCGTCCCAACAGATTAAAGATGATATTCAGTGATTATGGCCAAGTAGGACGTGTGTTTTTACAAGCAGAAGGTAGGCGCTTTATCCTGCTTTCTCATAAACGTACAATATGATTTGTCTTTCGTACTAAGTGTGCATCACACAACAAAATACACCGGCATTCAATTTGTATTTATTCCACCACAATCTATACACCATTTTCGCTAAATTTGAAATAAACTTTTCTGAGAACATGGCAACTACCACTGGGGGAGATCCAGTGGCCTAGGCATTTCGTTCTACTGTACTTCGTTACCAGTGTTAATCTGTGCTGTGACTGGCGAACGACCTTCTTGTAGTGAGTTAGCCTAGGCTAGTCTTTAAAAACAAAATACCAAAAGAAAACGAAATGGGGTGCAGTGTTTTCGTTTAAAAAGAAGCTTTGTTGCCCCACCCCTCTAGAGTCTATGCTCCCAGTGGGGAGATCTAAAGTCTTTAAGCCACATGTATTTTTGGCAATCCTTAAATACTTTAAAAGAATGCCTATATATGAAATCATCATATTATAAGATCATCATAAACACAAACAATTACAAAAGCAAATGCCATTAGAAAAACAAGTAACAGTTCCTACAAGAAAATGTACCAACTTGGCTAAATAGGCATATTTTTGGCATGAGTTGGTAATTTCTAACCATGGGGAAGTTTCCTTAAAGGGTGGGGATGCATCAATGTGGGGAAATGGTGTGGTGCAGGAAATTTGCTGGATGGAATTTTTCATAGGAGTAGGTAATTTTCAAGCAAAGAGGAAAGGAAATAATTTTTACAGTTTTGAAGATAATGTATGAAATATGGAAGGATTTGCTGAATTTTGTATAAAAAATTAAATTTGTTAACTTTAATGCAGTGTAATTTTAAAAAAAATAATAAAAATTATTTATGTACCAGTTTTATTTACATAGCATTTATTTATTGTTTTGATTTATAGAAAAGTTCAAGAAAGATCAACGTAAGAAAAAAACAGGCTCACGTGCCAAAATATTTACAGAAGGCTGGATCGAATTTAAAGACAAAAAGATTGCTAAGAAAATAGCTTTAACATTTAATAACACACCGATCGGAGGCAAAAAGACAAGCAGACACTACGATGATCTGTGGAACATCAAGTATTTGAGTCGGTTTCAGTGGAGCCATTTGGTTGAACGATTAGAATATGAAAAGGCGGTCAGAGATCAGAGAATGCGAACAGAAATCAGCCAAGTCAAGAAAGAAACAAACTTTTTTATTAAAAACATTGAAAAGAAAAAAGTTCTAGATAAGCTGGAAGAAAAGAAACGTAAAAAAGGTAAAGAATGGACCAGTAAGACAAGAAATTTCAAGCAAAGGAAAACAGATGATCAACACAAGCTGGTAAAAAAATTAAATGAAAATAGAAAAAAAGGAGTAAGCGCAGATCTTCTACAGAAAATCTTCCTAAGATAGTTATTGTTTTTAAAGAAAAATAAAGCTAATATCAAGATATGTGAATTAAAGTATGTAACAATAATATTGAGTAAAAAAACAATATTTGTTGCATATAGTGTCTTATAAAAACAAAGATTATATGTTACAATAACAAATATATAAAAAAAAAAAAAAATAAATCCATACATGTATTTGTATTAATCTTATGATGCTGCGCATTTACTTTCTTCTCTCCTGTTGAATTTTACTACATTAAATTAATATTAATATATAAACATACTTGTTAACAAACTCAACTAAAAGGGCAAAGGTAGGAGAATGACCCATAACTTACAGCGTCATTGTGCTGAATTGCGTATTGGCGTTGTCCGTGACTACCTAGCAGCTGTAAATAGGCGCTTCATGGTAGCTACATGTTCACATCATTCCACAACGACATGGGCTGAAATGAACCATAACATCGGAGTAACCTCCTACTCTTCCAATAAATGCAATGGGTTTTTTGAAGTGCACACGAGTGAGATGTATACATTGAACCTCCATTTAAGTCCATATCCGTGAAGCCTTGGTTCTACCAACCGAACCATGGGCGAGGAGTGGCTAGAACCAGTGCCCTGCCTTACCGCTTGACCACTCGACTCGCCTATAATATTTGGTTACTATTATATGGAATAAATCCCAGGCGGATGCAGGGGTGGGGTGGTGCAGATGGTGCAATTGCACTCCTTAAAATTTATTTTAAAAAATCATTGTATTGTATTGTTGATATGAAAATAAATGAAATATATCTGGTCACATAACCCATTGCAATTTCTTGGCACCTCAAGTTCCATATTCTCAAAATTTTTTAAGTTCAGCCCCAACCATGGTGGGGCTGAGGTGGTGTGGACTTTTATGCATCCCCTACCTCCAAATCCAGCATCTGCCCCAGTAAATTGTATTGTGCCTTGTAAGAACAAACATCACCCTTTTCTAAAATGACAATAAATGTAACTACTGTATGTACTGTATATCGAAGAAGAAAAACAACATTGTACTGTAGTACTAAAATATACATAATCTTGTTTGGTTGTTCGTCACAATCACTTTAATCCTGGTATCTAAGCTTTATTTCATGGAATATAAGTCTGCCTTATTTGAATAATCACTTGTGGGCCGTTATTGTTTTAAGGGGGTGGGGTCTTTTTTGCAGTTAATCCTCACTATGTAAATCTGTCACTATACAATGCCTATGCGTTATTAATCTACTGTTGAAAATAAAGGTTTTACATTGGAATGACTAGAATTTGTAGGAATAAACAATTTAATACAAAATTTATCAAACGAAATATGAATGTCTCCTGTCACATTGTGTTTTACACGTTCTTTCATTGACTACATAGGAGACGAACCGTCCCATTTTGTTTTCGTTTGAAGCGAGTCTGCCGTCATTTCACATTCATGAAAACCCCATAGAATAGATTCGGAACGGTTCCAATGCGTTTCCATGTCAGTAGCTACACTTATACAACATCATTAGATGATCAAATCTATGCTAAAATAGCTACACTTATACACCATTAGATCAAAACTATTCTAAAATTAGGATATTTACTTCTCCATGAAATGCATATTTACAACAATTAAATTTAACATAAATTCAGTACTCTAGAATAACTGTCTTTCCTGCTAGCATATTATAATAACTAGAGCACACTCCAAAAGTGTATACCTCCGCCTACATTATAATTCTCCCTTTTATAAGATTCCCAATAATTGAAGAATGAAAACGAATTTTAATCGCCACCGGGATTCGAACTCATGACCTGCCGCTTCCAAAGCGAACGTCATAACTAGAACACGAACGCGTTTTCAATGCAATCGGGTAGCCATTGACAGCCTTCAATCTTTGTTCCTTGGACCATGACAAACCACTCTCGAAAGTTTCATTCAGATCCAGTGATCAGTTTTTGAGATACATAGGTCTAAGACGTTCATTTTAAGGATCTCCACATGCACCCTATAGGCCTATTACGGAATGTCACCAAAATGGCATTACCTTTTCCTTGACAATTCCAGAAAGATTTTCAGCTATTGTAAATTTATTTTTTATTTTTTAGATACCTAGGTCAGGGAATTCTGTATAAATGGTCCTTATATCTACACACTGCTCGTTGATTAATCATTTCTTCCTTAGAACCATTCTTGAAAGTTTCATTCAGATACATTGATTAGTTTTTTGAGATATTTAGCAAATTGAATGATCCCAAAATCCACACCCAAATCTTGATCGTCACCAACTTTTTGATTAAAATTGTTGAATAGAATACAAGATATTAAGTAATTAACAAACGTGAATTAATGTTAGTAGTGTCATTTCAATTCAACTGGGTGTCCATTTCAAATAGACTGATTGTATGCGTTTCACTTAATAATGAATTCATGTTTCTACACACACCGCTAATTCTATCACGTAATTAATATAATGAAGATTCAGTATTGTTTTTAGTTCACTCTACACGTGTGAGGGATATGATTGTCTACATTTTTAATAGTTTAGTCTACATTGATCTTTTAACCAATGTGATTTTTAAATGTAAATATCAATAGTAGATTCTTTATATGGCTGTAATCCTCTTTCATGTCTAGTTTGTATGGAGAGCCACTTTCACTGTTATTTATTTTCTATCATTTTGGCAGTGTTACTTCTTGTGTTTTTGTATTGTATTTCATGTTAAGGCAAAATAAATGATACGATATGATAGTACCTCCTTGATTGATCGTATATATTGACGTTAGGCTTGGTATTTTTAAACTAAATTCTCAACCTATCTATCTTATGTTAAAGTGAGTACTGGAGGCTTACATATCACAATAGGAATATTGATAACTTATTTATGCAAATAAATAATTTTAAATAAGTATATTTGAAGCTCAGATTATCTTGTTATGTTACCGTATTTTAATGAGCATTTTATAACGTCTTTCCTTTCGGTTACGAAGCACTTTATAGGCTTGGCTCCCTAATCCTGTTATAAAACAATAATTCAGTTTATAAAAAAATACAGAAGAAATGAATCAGCACATTGAACTGGCTCATTGAAGAAAGCACAAAAACTTTATGAAAGCAGCCGGGATTCTTTTATTGGGGTGGCCCGACGGAGTAGAGTTTGAGGACCATTGGTTCAAATGGGGGTGACCCTTGGTTTAGGGTGTTCCTCTCTATTTTAAGGGTACAAAGGATGGACGCTTCACAGTCAAGCTAAAATAGTGTATCTGACGGTTATTTGAATCTGTTCAACCATGAAGCCTCGGTGATCTAATGGTTATGACGCTCGGCTTGAGAGCGAGAGATCGCAGGTTTGAATCCCTTCAGGGCATATAATTACACAGTGTATCTATCTATAGGAGAACATTCGTTGTGAGCTATGGTACACGATGTATCACGTCTGTTCGAATAAAGGACATAATAATACATCGTGTAGCATAGCTCTCAACGAATGTCCTTAGGGGGACCGGCCCGGCCCCGCCCCCTCCCCCTTTTGGGAGGTAAAAAATGAAAAAAGAAAGAAAATAAGAAAGAAAAAGAAAAAATGATAGCCCAGAACGCCTCAAATGTTATTTTCGGGCGTCTAGAACACAAAGATTTCGCGGAGGCATGCCCCCGGACCTAGGACCTGTCTCTTATACACATCTATACCATTTACTTTGTAAAATCAGTCACTGCTATTTTAAATAGTTTAGCCTATCGAGAGATAGGAATCTAATGCGCGAACCGTGCGTCACATTACTATTCTAAATGTCTAACCATACAGTTCTTAATGTATAACACTATCGTCTACCCCATTGGTTAAATCGCTGAATACTGTAATTCGCTCATTCCTTCGACTGTTTTGGAGATTCATGTATGCATTACTGCTGTGCTTTACTAATCAATTAGTGATAAGTATTCAGCATTAACGGATCTTGTGGGCACTAAGCAAGTTCATTGTCGAAGGAGAAAGCACTGAAGAACATACTAACAAGGTGGGTTTAGTAAAGTTTAAATACATTTATTATATTGTACCTTGTATTGTTTCGTTTTCAATAATAATTAGTATTAATTTATCAGTATTATTTACTTTATTTAAAAAACTATTTTTCTTAATTATTTTAAGCTGTTTGTATTTATTTACTTCATAAATACAATCGTTACACTACAGTGTACTGGAAATGTAATTAATTTTTAAGAGGGAGGGGGTCGAGTAAATGGGAGTATAATTGAATTGTTTGTTTTCATTCACATATTTGTGTGTGGATGTATAGTGTGTACACATAAATAATGTATGCTTAAGGTATTATTGTATTATTTATTTTAAGTTCATTTTCTAATTTCTCAGTTTTAGTTTTTTTAAAGTTTGCATAAATTTTGTTTAATTAGTATTAAGTGTACAGTATTTAAGTGACTCCATGTCTTGTTTTCAAGTTGAACGCAGCACTTGTGAGTGCCGAATATTTAAAGGCGTATGTTCAAAAAGTAAATAAATAAATAATATTAATGTTAAGTGTTTTAATATCTTATTTTATTTAGTTTTTCAATTAATTCAAGTTTAGTATCCGGTTCTATTATGCATCGATATTATATTTTTTAAATTTACGTAGGGCCTACTGTTGCATCACATTAACGTTTTAGCTCACTAGTTGCTAAAGAAAGATACGATTAAAATGGGAATGAAACGTTGGGATTAATTTTTCATTCTCAAAATTAAAACGTTTTTAAAATTTGAAGTATTTTAATAGAAGCAGCAGTTTCATCATCAGCAGCAGTAGCAGTGGTAGTGTAGCAACAGCAATAGTAGCAACAGCAGCTATGCAGTAGTATATTAGTGCTACTACTACTACTAGTAGTAGTAGTAGTAGTGTCCAATTTTGTCATTATATCATTATAGTATAACAACCAGTATGCTAGATTCTCATCAAAACAATACATCCGGGAGCTTTGCAGACTATGATGAAGAAAGTAGCAGCGTAGTTGTACCTGTGGCCGGGATTATTTTAAGCATTCTTCTTGTGTTGGGAGTTTATGGCAACATTGCAGTGGCAGTCGTGACATATCGCATGACGACAAACGGATCAGTCGCAGGTAGGCATGTTGGTTTTTGTCATGCATTCTCGACTCTTACGGTACATTACCAATAATTTGATGCACATTATCGGTATATACCCTTCCTCTTAACTTCCATTTTCTCCCTCATCCAGTTTACTCTGGACCGCACAATCCTTTAACAAAAAAAAAAAAAAAAAAAAAATCATCACTAGATTTTATAGTACGGTAAGAGATTTATTGTGTCATCTTAACAAATTTAAGATAATATTTGTAAACATAATGTAAAGGGCCAGGGACTTAGCCAGGATTTTGAAAGGGGTGGGGAGGCGTCTTGCAATGTAAGGGTGCCTGAGCGGTTAAAGTAGGGGCGCCGAATCTAGTTACAGCCACAATATCGTCGCTGGTTCGAGCGGCACGGTGGCGTATCTGGTGGTGGTGGAGAAGGACTATAAACCGTAGGCCCAATGTACACAATTGACTCAGTACATCTTTGGAAACGAATAAGGGTTACCGTAAACGTCAACGTCAAAAAAACCCGTAGTACCGAGCGGGGGCGAAGGAGGGAAGGAGGTGTCCCCCTCCCACGGTTGGGGGCCCGCGGGCCGTGAAGGGCCCCGGTGGGGTTCCAGGGGCGAATCCCCCTGGAGGTAGCACATTTTGAACGTTTTGAGGATTGTTTTAAGGGATTGTGGACAAACATTTTACAAATAAAATGAAAATTAAAATAGACGCATCATAAATAATATTTCAGAACTCCGATTGTTTTATTTGAACAAAAATGTTAACAAACATTCTTGAAATAAGTAAATTAAATTATAACAAATTGACGGCCGGGAGACTCATGAATGCTAAAATATGCTGCAGCTACCATGAGAGTCAACGCAGAGATAATAAATGTATTCATTACCGGTACTCATGGTACAATTTCGAATCATTATTTTAGATTATTATAATAATGCATGTCCAGTATAACAGAGAATCATAAAAGAATAAAAAAAATGAATAAAATATGCACTCTAATTATCATTACATACAGTTTAATATAACAATATTCATTGTATTCTCCATAAATAATATTTTTATATAATTATCAAAACCAGAAAGACTATAAGTTGTAACATTATAAATAATACAATTTGGTGTAGTTTCAATAAGACATAATATCTGATGACAGTTGCAAAACATGATTAACTTCAGGTATTTGAATATGTTCTCTACCTCGAGTGTATAAAAGCTATGTATAAAAGGCACAGGTATCATACTTCTAAAATAGAATGATAACTGATTATTTTTTAATTTATGATAGAACCTTAGAGTTTGAAGTTTGTGAATATCATCGACTTTCGGATCAGTGTGTGCAATGAATTTACTATTTTGTAAATCGAACAGCCTTTTCAAACTTATTGTTAGTAGTAGGCCTCAATAATTAGGCCCTATATGGATTGGAATTTAATCATGCCCAGGACAGCTTTAGGCCTAACTATAGCTAAACGCTTGAACTACTATAATAATTATAATGATAAGACAAATTACAAATTTCTCTTTCACCTTTAGCACAATTTTCTTCACTATTATTAATATTATCATCTACTCTCATTATCACCATCATTATCGTCGTCATCCTCATCATCGTTATTATTATTATTATTATAACTGCAAGTAATAGTATTGAACAAACTAACTTGCAAAAGGATAAAAGACATATACAATAGAACATTTCCGTATCTTAAAAGACCGTGGCCTGGGATTTATGGATTTAAGACATATTTAAGCTGATTTTTGAGTTGTGCCGCTTTTATAATTAGTTAAGTGTAGGCCTATAAGTGTATAACGTGCTGACGCATGTTTACGTATTTTTTTAAGTAGGCCGGCCTATTCATTTTTAGTGATTTAAGGAAAGAATTGGTATTGGCTACCAAGATATTTAATCCAAGAAGTTTTTCGTAGCAAATTAAATATACTGAGACCCAAAATAACTAGGCCTATTTTAATGGGATTAGACAAATTTCACTGTCATTCGGTAACAGCCATTGGTAGTAAAGTAGAACATAATAAACCTGGGCGAAACCTCCATTGAAGGCATATCGTGATATAAATAGCCCATCATTTTCTATATGAGATCCAATGTAATCAACCTCTATACTCCTCGATAATTTACAGACAATATACGTTAATGAACTGGTCTATGTAATTGATGAGAGAACACCGACAGCACGTTCCATGCAATGAAAGGTACTAAAGGAAGGGCAATTATGATCATATATGAAAATAAAATTTAAGTATAGTCAGAAATTCCAAATGCATGCAGTAGGCCTAAGTAAAAGGCAACAATAATAATTATTAAGTCTTTAAAAT